TCCCCCCACAGCCCTGCAATGTAAATTCACTTTTTAATGTAGCTGGTTTGGATTTGTGAGGAGTGTAAAGTGCCAGCCACCAAAAGGGCCAGTCAGAAGAATTGCCATCTAAAAGACCAGCTGGCAGAGAAGTGATTTAACCTGACAAAAAAAAGGTGTTGAGACTAGTTTGATTATTTTGGGGGTGGAGTGTGAGGGCAGGTGGTAGTGTTGGCACAAAGAAAGAGATCTGGACCCAGTAGAAACAGCTTATTCAGCCAAGCATCAAAAGTGGTGCCAGCTCTAGATAAACTCTGCTGCTCCTCTTGAGGGTTTCATCTAGACTTGTCCCAGTCAGCACCAGGAACTGCCAACGGGTGCATCTCATCAATAAAACCAGGCTAGAAGAGACTTGTGCTATGTTTCCTGTGTGCTTGCCATGAATCAGGATGTATCTTGCACCCAGACCCCCACTTAACTGTGCCAGTTCCAAGAGCTGGCTTGGTATTTACACCACCCTGTACGGGAGCTGGGGCAGCCATCAGCCTGAGCAGCAGGAGGAAACCTCTCCCTTGCTCACAAGTGCTCACTTCTGGGGTTTTGACCCATTACAGATGGTGCAGTGGGATGTGTGGGGTGTGTGGGGTATGTGGTGTGCTGCGAATTGCAGCTCTGAACAGCTTTAGTGGTCACCACCATCACTATGTAAACCCCTGTGAAGCACATGGTTCACTTTCCAAGCACAAAGCTGTCCCATAGAGACATGTATATTTCAAGAAGAGGAGAAAAAGATACATGTGGCATTTGTTTTTGAGCTAGAAAACATGAAAATTATGCTCAACAAGAAAATACACTGAGAGGTAGCTGGGAGGGCTCTGTCCTTTCAATCTCTGTGTCTATCAACAGAAGAGGTGCTTGAAAATTGCACCCATCATTTTCTTTTGCAGAGTAATAAGCAAATAGGTTTTAGCCTGTCGCCTGCAGGGAAATGGTTTTGTAATGGAAGGAGCACACTGAACTAAATCAACAAACAAGAGAATGGCTGTGTTTGTTTTTCCATGCACTGGAGGTGAGGGCTCAACCATGCTGGGGTTTCTTTCACATCCTCTCCACTTGACACAGGGCAGGGGACAGGCCCAGACACAAGAAGAGCTGCACATCTACATGGAGGGAGCACCGCAACAACAAAACTTTTGGTCTCTGTCTTCCCCCCACATGTTCAGTGCCCTTCTTGTCAGTGGAACGGGAGATGTGGGTCTCTGGCGTGCCTGATGCTCTCCCTCTGGCAGTACTTTCATTAGTGTTTTAAACCAGAAACCAGCACTTGTCACTGACAGGAGAGTTGCCTGAGTGTCTCACTGCCCCTGGCTACTTGCTTCCACCCCTCAGCTCTTGTGCAATCATAGTGAAGTGCATCTGTGAGTGCAGCTGGACCACAACCAACCAAGGACTACAAAAAGGATGCATTTTTTTAAAATCCAGTGGTTCCCCACTTCAGTTCACTCTCTTGCATTGGGAGTGAGCCTCTTTTGGCAGTGATGATGACTTACTGGGAGAGACATTCATGGCCCTCTGGCCTGGGGCAAGGCATGACCTAGGTGGGGAGGGCCCTGCTGGCCCCAGGGCATTCCTGCCTGCCCATGTGGGTGGCAGAAGAAAGCAGTAAGTAAACTGAACTAATCAGCCAGAAGGTTCGATACTGGTGGAAGTATCTAGCTCACATACATACATATACTTACAGAAATGCACTTTACTACAGCCAATTTCACATGAGGCAGGTATTTTTTGCTTATTGATTATGAATCCAGAACTACCAGTGTAGTTTTTTTCATGTTACATATGCTTTGTTGGTGTGTCTGAAGGATGTGTGCTCAGCACAGGCTCAGGCTAAGCATTAAGTTGGGAAAAGAGAATTACCTATCCAGACAGAGGCATTTTTGCCTCCTTTAAGCTGCATTCCAAAGACAGACAATTATTTGGAAGTATCTTGTGTGTTTAATCAATGCACAGGAAGCATTTGTAGAGGCAAGGGCAGCAGTGAGTGTATGCTTTAATCCTGTTTCAGACACAGCATTCCCCTTACCTGCATTTGAGCTGTTAGCTCAAAGGCAGGCCTACAGCTGGAATGAATAGCTTAAGATAGCCCTCTCCATGTCTAGGCCACTGGATGCCCATATGGCTTATGTTTTTAATGTATATTCCCCATTGTCCCTCTTTTCTCCTAGCAGAAGGACAGAGGTATTTCTGTGTGTCTTGTGTGTGCCAGGCCAGGCAGCCCTGTGCCTGTACAAGTGCTTGTAAGCACACGCAGATATAGATGTGCCCATACAGACCCAGATGTGCCCAGACAGACCCACATTACTAGTCACATTTACATCTGTCTATATGCATGCCTATTCTGCCATGCAATCAACATATATACAAGTCTGTTGAAACAAGCCAATTTTTTTCCTCTCCTGAATTGCCAAATGCTGGAAGCCGCAGGCTAGCTATTGTGGTTACCCTGATTCCCAGGTTTCTCCTGCAGTTGGCAAGTAAGCGGCACTGTGAGTTTCCTAACAACTGGGATGAAGTTTTGTGTAAATCACCTTCTAGGCGTTAGACTTTTCCCAGCAAAAGAGGGGGGTGGGTGTTTCCCAGCAAAAGAGGAGGGAGAATTGCTCTCTTTGATGTGGGGATTAGTTCACATGTCAGCATTATCCCCTTTTTTTTAATATGCTGTGATTTATAGAAGGGCGGCTATGAGAGATAGCCAAGGGGACACCCCACGTGGGACTGACAGACACCACCTCCCAGAAAATACCTACAACTAAAGAAGCTGGCATCAACAGAAAGACTCCAAATGCAAAAAAAAAAAAAAAAAAAGAAAAAAAGAGAAAGCATTGTAAAAAAGCCCTGTTTTGCCTAACAAATGCTTTTTAAAAATTAGGATGTGCTTTACTGCTTATTGAGCAGAAACTGGTTTTCCCAGCAGCAGAGGGGGACTCTTTCTGCACATCCACAATAAAGAAATTATAAATGCTTTTTTCTCTTAAAAAAAAAGTTTGTTTTGTATTTTCCCCTTAGAGCACACATCATTAGTGAGAACGAGCATGGTTTCAAAAATGATTATGCTCACTTGAGACATATTTAGCAATGGGACTGCTTCAGTCAGATTTTCCACATTCTCCTGCATGAATATTTTATCAGTGCTTTAGAAAAACTTCACTTTTTGGTCAAAAGTTATATGATTGTTCTGCAATCCAATCTTATGTCTATTAGTGTTGAAGGAAACTTTCCTGATGTTTTTCATGGGAACTGGATAAGGGTCTGACTTATTAGGCTAGAAGACATATACAGAGTAGCTTTGCTTAGCATATCTGAATTATTTGGGCTTAATCCTTTGTGGAGTGTATGGCTGAGAGGCTGGCAAAGGAGACAGTGATAGATACAGTAAGCGATTTAACTAACTTTTATAGTTTGTATCAGTATTTTTTCAAATTTCTGTCTGTTTTAACCCTTTTTAGTTCCTAGTTTTTTATTTTTCCAGTTCTCTTTGAATGAAACTTTGAGACATTCTAGTAAAGCAAACTTTTATTTGGTAATTAAAAACACAGTTTAATTTCCAGACAGATCAGCTCTTTGAGCCGATTCTCTTGTGTTGAAGGCAGTGGGGGAGACAAGGCTGTGGCAGCCCAGACTTTAGAGTGAGCTGCTGTAATACTCTATCCTAGATACACAGTTTTATCATGTTTTGACAACAGAGATACCATGGTGTCTTCTTTGGCTGTCTCTTCAAGTCCTCTCCCACCCAGCCACCCAAAGCCCTGCATTCACCCTTGATGCTGCTTTGCTTGTGCTCCTTCCAGCACAGCAGAGGCAGCTCAGCAACTGCCTGGGCACCTCACCTTGAGGGACAGACAAAAGCCAAACTACTTCTTTGCTCTAATGTTTCCAATGGTCTCCTGCAATTCCCCCCCGCTATTCTTTTAAGCATAAAGAGGTTATTGTGTCACCCCCAGCAACCCATGGCTGCCACTGACAACCAAAGTGTGACGCACGACGGGACGCGCCCCACACAAGCAGGCTTTGTACCCGGGGCGGTGCGGCAAAGTGGCCACGTTCAAGTGTGGCCTCACAGTGTGACTTCTCCCACCCCAGCCCGGGCTGCTCCATGTGCTCTGACCCAAATGCTAAAAGAACTACTTAAACCCATAGTGAAAGCGCAGACAAAAGCTCCTCTGGCACCTCCCCAAGTGCAGCGCCCTGGCCCAGGGCTCCTGCGAAGGTGTCCTGCAGCCGGCGCACAGACCCGCCTGGCCCTGCACAGCAGCTGCAGAGAGGGGCAGCCTTGGCTCTCAGGTGTCTGTGCACCCCACCTTGGCTTGCTACTCCTCCTTTGTGCCACTGTGAAGTGACTGCAATCACAATCCTTCTTAGAAAAACGTGTTATGCCCACAGGCACCCTCTCCTCACGAACAGGCAACAGCAGAGTAATTCAGAGTGATGCTTCCTTTGATGCGGGGCTGGGGATGGTGTGTGGAGAGAGAAGGGTGACTTGGTGGACTGGAAAATGATAACTGTTTCCACAGCCTGGGAAACACTCTGCATATGTTTCTGGCAAACAAGGGTATTTAAGAGACATGGCACATGCTGCCCTACTTATTCTTCTTCACAAATGGCCCACTGGAGCCAAAAATCAAAACAATTTCCTGCTTATTTGTTCAAATTGTCAAAATATTTGACTGAATGAATGTCAAGCAGTATCTTGAAGACAATACTTCATAGAAGGAAAGACAATTTGGAGTTGCTGTGTTCCCCCATTTCACTGCACTTTCCAGAAATGGAAAATCCTCCTTGCTGGTCTCCTGGCTGTTGTGTGGCAGGGTGGACTGCAGCCACACACATCACTGACTTATACTTTTTTCTATATACGTTACCATTTGGGTGCTCAGACCTGTCTCCATCATCACTGGTAGCTTGAATCTCTCCCCAAGGGTTAAATAAGTTTTGCCTTTAAATAAAGAGACAGCACCAGCTGATTAAACCCCAGAACACATGCATGTATTTTAATACTTTTGAGTGAGAAAAGTAATTCCTATATTATTCAGGTGTGCTCTCATCTGGGAGAAGCAAGATTTCTCATCTTCAGTTTGGATTGAGTTGGGAATACACAATTTAAGCAAAGTTTGTTAAATGCCATATATAATAAGAAGTTAGACAAACCTTTTCAGCAGCTATGTTTGCGTGTAACTGAGACTTGAACTCAGATTTTATGATTTTGATGGCTTACAGTTAAGAATGAAACAATGTAATATAATATAAAGAAATAATCAAACAGCCAGTCAGCCAAACAGGACAGGCTTAGACTTTTGAATATACTGCACTTTTGAAAATTATGAAAAAAGCAGAGAATTTGAAAAACACTGTCAGTCTGGGGGCTTTTTTTGTTTGTTTTAAAAAGTTATGTTGGTAATGATAGAGCTTAAATCAGAACAATATGAACAGACTGTAACTTAAAAATTGAACTGGTTTTTTCATTTAAACCCACAAAAATGTAAGTATAGGCCGGAGTTCATAATAAGCTGGACCCTTCCCCTTCAAACTTAAAAAAAAAAAAAAAAAAGAGAACCAGTGCTCAGTTTGATTATCCAACTGTTTGGCTCAAAGGTGTAACTAGCTTGTCTTTCTGTGGTCTGAATGAAACGCAGAGGAACAGCAGGCCCTGACTGCTAGATGCAGCTCCCATGCTTCCAAAAGCTGAGCATGAATCATACAACACCATGTGTGAAATGCTACATGAAAACATCAGGTGGAGGACAAAAACTCTTCCTGCAGGAGATACCTGCCCTCCCTCATGTAACACTGATAGCAGGATATGACTGTAGCTGCTGATACATCAGCCCTTTAAGATTTCTGCCTGTCATCCAGATTTATTAAAAGATCACTTCCATTTGAGAGTCTCCAAAAGCATGTGTTTTTTCTGATATGTCATATATAAGGGTGACACAAAAGTAAATATGTTACCACTTTCACAAGCTGGGTGATGAACTAAATACCTGTATCGTCTAGGATTTGGTAATGGAAGGGCTGTATTTTCTTTTTGACTCCCTAGTAACAGACATATTGTCAATGTCCAGTAAAGGCTAAAATTCTACTGGACCATAGCTGTGTACCTTGTATGCAGGCTTTGAGAAGTGATTTCCATACCAGCTGAAGCAATTAACCATTAGTGCAGCAGCTGGGATAGAGCAAGTGAGGCAACTGCAATGTGCCTTCTGTTGGAAAGCAGCTTCAGGTCTAAATGGCAGCCTTATCAGACATTCACCTGGTTCCACTGCTTGTATTATTAGCTCAGAGAGAGCTCAAAGACTCTGGAAATGCTGCAGCTAAATAGCCACCTTCTTAGCACCCCGCTCAGTGCAAAGCTTCCCTGGCACCTGATTAGGAAAACACTGCAGGGGATTCACAGGAACAGGGTCTGGGGTCAGGAGAAAGCATTAAACCTTCGCGTGTAACTTTTCATGTGACCGGGCTGGCGGGCCGGTGACTGTGGTCTCCGTTGGCAGGCAGTGGCTTGTGGAGACCTGGGAATTATTATATAGGATTGGGAGAGAATGCCAGCAATGCACACAGAGCCCGGGGGGAGGATGAAAGGCAAACGCCACGCGATGAATGAATTCACAAATATGCATGCAATTTCTGAACGACTTCTTTCCCTTCGCTGAACCTGCACACCAGTTTCTGCAGTGAAAGCCTCGTGTCCCACGGCTGAGAAGATCCATACCAGCCCCCTTGGCTCTGCCAGCACCTGCTGCGGCATGGGCACCCGCCACCATTGCTGTCAGCAGCGAGAAGAGCACTGTGTTGGTGTGCCATGAACGAAGGTCTTTGCCAAGACACCAGTGAGCCCCTAAATGCAGCTGCCCTCAGGGGGAAAGTGGGGTGTGGCTCTTCTGAATGCGGCAGCTCCCACTGGTGGTGGCTATGCTGTGGGGCCGTGGTGAAACCCATCGCTGAGGGCAAGGGGAGAAAAATTCAGTGTCGCTGCTTCATCAGTCTGAACCAAGCAGTGCCAGAACAGCCCACTGGCTGGGGGCAGAGCTCAGCTGGTGCCACCTCCATTGTCACCATGGTGGTTGAGGGCCCACCTGTCTTGTGGTTGGCCTTCCCAGGTGGCTGCAGGCAGTGGGGTGTGCAGGCATGGGCTTTGAAAGCACACTTAGGAACAGTAACTTGCTGCTTCCCCACAGTGTATAATTTTGGAAAGATGGGAGGAGAGCCATCTAGAAACGGTGTCCCTGCAGCTCCTCACTTGGCATAGTAGAACCATCTTTTATTATCCTTTGGGGCTACAGCTGAAAACAAAAAATGCTTTCATTTCACTTTGGCAGCAGCTTTGGTTGTGTGTGCTCTGGCTGCTTCCTTAATTACAGTGGTTGTTGACAACTTCTGATAGAGACCCTCTCTTTGAGCAGTCCCCCCACTCCCCCACTCTTTTTGCAGTCTGAACACATAACAAACTGGGACAACGTTCTGTAAAAATAAGCTCACTGTAAACTCAGCGATTCCCATGCCACAGTTATGCTCTCTTCTGTCCTCTCGGTTTGGGCTGCTGCTGTTTATTTCCTCTTTCTGGCTATAAGACATTTTATTTATTAGTGCTGGATTTCCTGTTGCCTGCAGCTGCCCGTTCTTTACTCTCCCCAGTGCATTTTGCCATGAGAGGCTGTCTGTAGGTTTGCTGTCCCACTGACTGAGATACTTTCATCAAATTTGGTTGGTGGTTGTATTAAACAACACTTGACAAAGAGGGGGCTTCCATGGCAGCCTGGGCATACAAACCATACCACCTCAAATAAACCAAAGGCTGGCATGGTAAGCTCTCAGAGGCAGAGGAGGGCTCCCTTTTTTTATGACTTACTGATGCAGAGATTATGTTTTTTCAGATGGCAGGAACACTTCTTGTTTTGCTTGCACACACTGCACCAACACAGGGGAAGACAGCTCTTTGACTGGGCACGTCTGCAGGTCTGACTGACAAGGGGTTAGAGATTTTCAATTTATATTTCAGACTGTGGGCCTCATCATGGTAGAAACATCATGCAGAATTTACACACGTGAGGTTCATGAATGACTTCCCTGATCTTTTGTGGACATTCAACATCCTTGTAGTAAACAGAAAAAATTGCTTATACTGAAAATCAGATCATGAAGTGGAAAAAAAATGTTTTGCTGCTTTGAACACAATTTCCCTGCTGGAAGGAAGAAGGTGGCAAAAGCTCTTCACGCTCTGTGTATTACCAGCAAGGCCAGTTGGAAAAGCTCACTCATCAACACTGGGGAAAAGTGCTTCATCTAAATTCTCTGTTGTCCAATGGCTAGTTGGTATTATATCTAATGGAAGAAAATAAGTTTGAAGCAGCACCTAATGGTAATATTCTCTCTCTTGTGTTTTGTGTGTAAGGTGCTGCCCTAATTTTATCATCTTCTCTTTCTGTTTGGAAGGGATTTGGTCTGAAAACTGAATGATGAGAGTTAGGGGTGAAGTGAACCCCAAGGCATGGAGGTGTGTTTCACAGTGGTGCAGCCATGGTCCTATCAGGATGTGATCTTTTCAGCTGTTGTTCATGGTGGGCAGTTGCTGGCAGAGAAGCTCTGCAGGTGCAGCACCATTTAGACACTTCTTCCTTTGTGTCAGATGTTTGAGAGCTGCCTGTGACCATTCAATAGGGAACAGTCTTTTGACATCTTCCAGGTAAAATGGAAATGGGAGATCCTGAGCATTTGAATTATGAAAGATCCCAGTGTGTTACCTGCAAGCCAGTGTTTTAACCCCCAATTGGCCAAATTAGCAGAGCTGGCCAAATTCCAGCTCTGCTAATTACATCCTGCCTATGTGAAAATTCCCCTGCATTTGTACACTGCTTTCTTCCTTGCTTGTTTTCAGCAGCTGCGTGCAGTTGCCAGGTGCGGTGAAGCGCTTGCCATGTTCTACCTCAGGTCTGGCTGCCTTTCAGCAGGGAATGAAATGAGCACTGTGCACAGCGTTTGCACTGGGTCTGGATCCTCTGCAGGGAAGAGTGCTGGAGAAGCAGCCTACCCAAGGGCCAGCGCTGGAGCCTTGTCACAAAAGGTAACAGTGTTAAGAGGCCAAAAGTTCTAGTGCTGGGATACATCATAAGGTCACAGGAGAGACAGGTCCCAATGTCTCTCACCTACAAAGGCTGGAACAGCTGGTACATACAGATCTGGTTTTGGTAGCTGACTGACTTCAGGTTTGTTTGCACAGTGCGAGAAGCTCCCAGTCCTGCTTACAGTGGTCACTGTCAATATACATTCAGCTTTGCATGTCTGATTATCTATCAGTGTGAACGAGGGAAGCTAAGGGGAAAATAATTTAAGAGCTTTTAATCTATAGATGTGTTTCCTTGTATTCTACTTCATCTCGTGCACATTGCTTGTTACTTGGCCCTGTCGGGAACAACCTTCTTCAACTAACCATTAATCCCTCTGGTAAAAATCTCACTGATATAATGGAAAAAGAACTGGCTGATGGATTATCCCTCTCTTCTGAAGAGGTGAAAGAGATGGCTGCAGCTGTAGTTACAGGATGCTAATAATAAGAAGCAGTAAGAAATGCAGGTCACATACAGAAGGATAATGAAATTACATCCATTCAATACAGGGGTGACTTATTGGCTCATCTGTCCAATTTTCTTGTCAGCCAAGCTCTCTTGTTGATGATGGCATTTTTACCACTGTTCTGCCTGAATATTATATGGAAGTACATACAAACATGTTTGAGGTTGCTCGCAACAGAACACCAACTCCACTGTTAGCAGTGGATGCCCAAGGCAGATAGAGCAGTGACGATTTTTTTTTCCCCACCTCACATCCCTCTTTAAGCTTTTCAACATCTTAATTCCATGGGACAGTGGTTGTGAGCAAGGGGGAAAACCTAAGGTTGTTTCAAGGTGTGATGCCATCATGTTTTCACTATATCCTAGCAAGGGAAATACAGCAAGTCTTGGAAAGAGAGGGAATGTGTGTTGTTTTTGGTGTAAAACAGAAAGCTGAGACTCAAAGACCCAAGTTCTGTTACCATGCTGCCCCTGTGACCTCAGCAAAGCACAAGTATTTTAGTCTCATCAGCCCTGTCTTTAAACTGTGCTTGCTTCATGGGGATGAGAAGATGGGGATTAATTCACTAATGTTTGTAAAACATTTTAAAACTTGATGGAGATGTCCCAGGTAGTGCAGAGAGCATTGAAAATCTTATCTCCCTCTCCAACTGCAAATGGCTCTGCAATATGACAGAAATGAGTGAAAACTGCTTGCATTCTGGTGTTTATAATAATGAAACCCTCTAACTCCCCCTCTCAATCCTTCCACTTTTTTTTTTTTTTAAATAGGGAGAGACAGCAATGAGAAATGTTAGTCTAAACAGAGTGCAGTTGCTCCCTGGAGACTTGAATGCATCTCAGTGGAATTTTCCCTGCCTTCAGTCTATTGTACTTCTTAAAGGTCCTGGAACCAGGCATGTGACTGTAAGAGCAAAAAACACTTCTCTGTCTGAGTGCTCTACCAAATATTTACAAGATACTCAGATAAAATGGCTACAAGCAAGTTCAGCAGGGTTTGAGTGGCTCGTAGTGCAGCACTGTCAAGAAGAAAATCTAAATCTTAGCTAAAACAAAATTAAAATTACATGTTACAAAGGTCTTCTCAAAGCTGGTAGCACTGAAGCTGGAAAATTGCTCTTCCCCAGGGTGAAATGTATAACTTTTAGAAGCAGCTTATTGAAATGCAGTAGCTTCCTTGTTGTGATGGAAACTTCCTTGTTAAAGGAGAGCCCAAAGCTGCATGGGCAGGCGTGCAAGCAGATAGCTGCAGAGATGGTCTCTCCATGCCATCCTGTCTGGTGGCTGGGAGTGATGCAACATTGGCTTCCACATCTCTGGCACTGCGAGCCTTAACAGTGTGCAGTACCTTTTAGTAGGGGCCACGTACTCCCAGGAACTCTCTTATCACCCCCAGACTGGCCAGCAAACAGCAGATGGCAACCTGCCTGCCTGCCTGCCTGAGGTGGCCTCACTGCAGCTCATTTCCTTGCTGGGTCACCTACAGCCACTTCGGCAGTACTTCAGACCTCTCATCTTTCTGTACAGGCTACTCTGCTTCTCAAGAGGGTGCTCAGGGAGGCTTTCCCTGTGACAGCAGAGGACAGACCCAGCCTCCCAGGCCAATGGTGACTGCAGCAGCAGCTGGCATTAACTGAACCCATGGCTTTCCTGTAGGCTTGAGAGTAAGGAACAGATCCTGATCACAGCACAGCCAGTGATGCTTTTAGTGGCCTCGAGCAAGTCATGCATTCTCTAAGTCTGTAAGGTGAGTAAACAGTTCTGTGGTTTGTAGTCATGTTGTGAATACTTCAAAAGTGCTTTGAAGACAGAGAAAGCTGAGCAGCTGTAATACACATCGATCTTCCCACTGTTCAGATTGCTACTTGTTCTCCTAACATTCTGAACAGTCAGAGCCCAGCTATTTTTAACTCTTACATCATCTCTGATGATTTCCAAGTGAGTTACAGGAGTAAGTACTTAGTGCACTATTGCTTCGTAATCAAGCCACTGACTGGGTTTATCATTCCCTTGAAAAAAAGAAGTGAACATTTCACTGTGTTTTGGGCTGTGGACACTCCTGTGCTTGGCCATTGGTTCCTCCAAATTGATGAGGCTGTGAGGTGAATTAGAAAGGCACGTGTGGCCTACACTTCTTCAGTATCATGTATGTTGTTCAGAGGCTTTTATTATCAAGTCACTTAAATTAACCTAAGCAAAAGACAGGTTTTACATAAGTTCAGAGTTAAGTATGGCCCCACATATACAAAGAACAGCACTTGGTTTTAAAGTTAGTCTTTGAAGATACAAAAGAAGACGAATGCTCACTCTCTGCTTCACCAGATTTTTGAAAACCAATGTCATCATTTGTCCAAGTCTTTGGGGAGGTTTCATTTGTCCTTTCTATAGATTTGATGTACTTCTTGAAGTCTCATCAGTAGTGCTGGGTAAAGTAGCATCATGTAAAGTATCTTTCAAGGCAGTGTTCCTCACTCGTATGGGCTGCAGGGCAGGATTGGTTCCTTCCCAAACTAAATTAGTTTGATCCTTTCGGTCTGAAACACACAATAAAGACAAGACACCTCAATCACAATATTTCTGAATGAGATTGCAAAGTTGCCATTTCCTCCAGCAGACAGTCACTTGGACACCCATTTAGTACACAAAACAAATCAAGGTAATAAGTTCACTATGAACCAATGTTACAGATTTGCTGAAAATGGATTGACATGCATATAATGATCCTCTTCATTCAGCCTGTCTGGTTGTCCTTCTAGTTACCAGTGTCCAAACTCTCCTTCTCATTCTGGCTGGCAAACTTTCTGACGGGCTCTAAAGCCAAACTTTAGACTAGTCGAGGCCCCTTTACCATTCTTTGCCAGAGCTCTCCAAAGGCCAGCATGTATTTGCTGAGAATAGTGTACTTGCTAGGGTACTTTGCACCACCCTAATTTTCCAATAGAGCTGATTTTGGTAGCCAGCACCTATGAACAGAGAATGGGATGTGCAAGAAGATGGACATTGTCTAATAGAGCTCATGTTTGACAGTTCAAATACATTTTCTAGAGTTAAACAGAGCACAGCTTATAGCAATATATTTTCTAACTAATAGCAATTGCCTTGGATTCTGAGAGAATATTATGGCTCCACTTTATATGCTTTTTAATACCTAGCCTGAGATCAGAGCCTGCTCCCAACCAGTATAAGCTGCTCCTCTTCTAGTCTTAGACCTCTGTCAATGCCAGGTGGTAAAGTACTTTGGGATGAAGCTCTCTATGTAAATAAAGGATATTATATAACTGTGATTAGACACTTTATATAGAAAACAGACTGTTGTTTGTGAGAGGAGATCTTTAAAATGAAAATGAAAGCCTTCCTGAGCAGCCTGCAAGGTGATGAACACAAACTGAAGAAACACACACAGTTACCAGGGCCAAAATATCCAAGGTACTAAGCATCAGTCAGATCGCATTCATGTCCTCAGGTTTGCTGCTATTAACTGTGTTGCAAGGCATCTCAGGCCTATTCAAATACATATTTTTTTTTCCAGTCTCTGCAGCTGACCCACTGAGACAAACTCCATCATTGCACAGAGAGCCCTCAGGTGTCTGAAGGACTCTGCAGAATAGCCAGCTCATACCTGGGCTGAGTCCTACTGTGCTGCACCAAAGCTTTAAAGAAAGTCAATAAACCTAAAGGAGGAAAGTAAAAGGCAGGATATTTCACAGTAACAAGCCATGATTAACAGAGGTGATGTTGTAGAAGAAACGTAAGGCTCTGACAACGCAGGTTGTCACAGTAAGCTGTGTCTCAGTTTTCCTCTTCCTCTTTAGCCCTGTTTGTTAACTATATGAAAAAACAACTACACTAGAAAAGAGTTGGTCATATAGCTGTCCTGGTATAACCATATTGACAATGATGATAACTCTCATTTCCCATATTCCACAAGGGAAATATGCTACACTGACGAAAGCACCTCTAAGACTGTTTAAAACAGCTTTGGTATTTACTACAAGGCATCTACAGCATTACCCATCTGTACTTCATGTTACTATAGAGCTGACTTGACAACCCAAAAAATGTACAGGATGTCCTTCTGTGAATTTACTGGGAGAGAATAAGTGAAGTTGTCTATACTCCATCTAGCTTTGGGAGAGGGCTGACAGGAAATGTATCTGAGAACTTATTTCAATAAAAAGATAGGAAAGAGTAGGCAAGTAATTATTTCCAAAGAAACAGCTTGTAGTGAGCCGCTGAGAAGTCTATATTCTCATCCTATTAAAACAATCAAACAAACAAACAACCAAATCCCCAAGCCCCAATCTCTAAGAAAGGGAACGGAAAATACCATCTGTCTTCAAGAAGAATCCAGGCATTTCCATAGTCGTGATATACTAGGCTTATGAACATTGTCATTCTTAGTGCATAAAATATAATGAAAAATAGTTTTATAGTGTCAGATTAGCCAACTACATTTTTGACTTTTAGATAAGCCAGTATTTGTGCATTTTCAGTATGCTGTCTCTCTTTGCTAACTTGTTTGTTTCTCTTAAACCATGATGTTTAAAACAAATCACAGGAATCTTGAAGTCTGTCTAACACCATTGCTTTTTTAACAGCATCACTCAGGAATTCCAGGTCAGATGAGTCTCAGGTTTTGTAAAGTGGATGACCATAATTTTTAACTACAAGAATACCATAGCTTTTTTCTAGTTTTCAGTAAGGTCCATTTTCTACCAAACAGGGTTTGTATAGGAAGCTATGTATTATACCACCCATCCATAATCACAAATTATAAAACATAACACAGGAGTTTTTCCACATTGTTTTTCTAGAATAACTGCTGGTTACTAACAGGTACTGAACAGTTCCCATTGATTTTGTGTGGAATAGCAATACCCAGTTGTATCTGCACCGGAAGCAGGTCTATGTGTTACATAAAACTGCTTAGATTTCTACACAGGCTCTGATTTGATCTTTTATTATCTTCTGCAAGTGATTCAACTTGGAGAACTGGCCTGATTATATCATTATAAGCAAGTACATGTAACTCTTTCACGGGGCAAGAAGCCATTGCAAAGTTATTTGTACTGAATGTATGCAAATCAGCTACAGTATGAGGTAGTTTGGGAGAAGTCTGGGGGGATTTCCCTGCTTTATGTAATCATTATTGCTTCTTAGTTTCCTCTATTCACATAGCCAGGAGACATAGGCTTGACACTGCTTGGTAGTTTCTCAAACTCAATTTGAAAGCAAACTAATGTGCTCAGTGACCTACAGCAGTCCTGTGACCTTCAGTAAATCCACAGATGCTGGTGCAATGACATCTGGAATGAAGGAGGCCTGAAGGAGAAGTAGGGGAATAACATTACAGACTTCATTTGCTGGCACACTTTGACAGTGGTCAGCAGCCAGGAGGATCTGTGTGCTGTCCCTCAGCTCTAACTCTGGCCTAACCAGAGCCCTGATTTCTCAATTCTCAATCCACACAGAGTGATGCACCTCATATGTGGTGAGTGCTGTCAGTTCACTCTCCAGAGTGTGGGGCATTACAAGGCTCCTGCACACCAGACTGCAAGCACACAGAACTGGCTGCCCTCACCTCCCCATATGGAGGTGAGGAACTACACTCATCTTACCATCTGCTCAGGTGTCTCCAGTCCCACCAAAAATATTTACTGAAATGACAGGCTGGACAGGTAGAAGCTTTAAGGCAAGTTAAGAGAAACCCTCTATCTCTTAGCAGCCCACAGAGAGCTCGGTGCTGTTCAGGCCACACTGCTTCTGACATCCAGGTGAGCCTGCTCAGGGCTTGCCTGAGTATCGCTCCCTGCCCCGTGTATCGTGCTGTACACATTGTGGTGTTATGATTCCAAACTGGAAGATTTATAATTCAGCAACTATTCAGATTCTGAGAAACACACTTACTGAAAACCACTAAGCTAAGGGAAATACGACAGGTAAAGTAAGCATGGTGGCACTGAGGAGGAAGGAAATCTCCCTGCAGTGTGCTGATAACAGTGTGCTTGATATACACAGTGTTCAATCTGCACAATCTGCAACTGGGAAAACACAGGCTAGCTGAAGGAAATTCAGCTAGGGGGCCCTAGGGACTGAATTAGTCTGTTAAAATGCTTTGTTGGTTTTATTTATCACTACTTAATTAGGATGCTTGACCAACACACTGGAAAGATAGTAACTGTTAAATATTCAAGAAGCTGACCTTTCGGTTACAATATTGCAATTCTGAATAAAGTTCATGGAAAGTTTGTCCTTCCTAGGTACTCCAACAAAGCCAAAGGGAACTAGACTGGGCCAAAAAAATAAAAAAGTAAGAAAAAAGTAGGGCAGTACTGTGGAGACCTGCTTAAAAATCCAAGTTTTGCTATGGGCTCATTGAATGATCTCAGACAAGTTGTTTCCTGCCCTGTGCTTCAATTTTTCCTATCTGTAAAAAGAGTACAACAGTGTTGATCTTCCTTGTAAATCGCTGAGATGAATGGCCAAAAAAGCAGTAATATATTACTAATTATTTATTATTATTTCTGAGGAAGAAAAAGCAAAGAGAAGAAATCATCAATCTTTCAGGGTTTCCTGAAAAATAAAAAAGCACAACAGAATGTGAATTTCACACAACAGAAACTTTTGGCAAATTACCTTTAAGAAGAAATAGTGGGCACATAATTAAAAGAAAGTTTAAAGTGGGCATACACTCAGGAAAACGCTCCAGATGGTGAAACAAGTTAGGCTGCGGAGCAGCCTTCCCACAGGAAGCGATGAAACCCCCATTGTTTGAGACATGTGAAACTGAATTCCTCAAAGTGCTGGTATGTACAATACAAGGAATCATTCTACACTGTCTCAAAGTATAGCAGCACTGTGATGACCTAAGAGAACTGTACCTTCCATTTCTTAAATTTTAAGAGAGAAATGACTCTCTGACTATGGAGAGCTGTAGACTCATTTATCTATATAGTACCTGAGGAACATCTGCTGGGGAGTAACTACATGTGTTTTTGCAGGAGATGGATTCATCAACTCTTAACAGATCTTTCACATTCCTAATTCTGATGTCTGAACTTTTTATGTCGAAGAGGGGAAAGAAGGACCTCCCATTCTCTGGGAATTATAGTGTGTATATCCTACTATTTATTTCCTTTATTACAATCTAAAGAGAAACTGCGTGGCTTGATTTTTACAGGCAGTGGTTTACAGAAGAAATACCATTATTTTAATGGGAACCAAATGAGCAATCATTACATAAATGGCATTATGAGATACGGAACTAATGCTGAAATGTTAAATGCTTGGGATCAAGATGGGAACTGGCAGCAGCATGCTGGAACATTGGGGTTTCTCCACACTCAAGATACTACTGCAAACATTCCCCAGTGCTGTTAATGCTAGTTCAGCTCCTCTGGAGGTAGCTCTGGAGGGCATCTGACTGCTTCTGTTGTTACTGGCTTAAAATCTTAAGACCATCTCTGAAATCCAAATTCAGAGCTTTGGGCAAGTTTTATTGATAGAACTTGGTCTGGTTGGAGCAGATAGAGCA